AATGATAACAATCTTGGAATTGTATCTGAAATTCATCCACTTTTCAGTAGGAGACATTTAAAATCCTAAACCCAATTCAGAATTCACTGTCAAAAACAGAAAATGCTGGAGACGCTAAGCAGGTTTGGCAGCATGAAGAAGAGTCATAACAGACTCTTTAATGTTAACTCTGTTTCCCTCCACAGATGCTGCCAGACCTGCTGAGTTTCTTGTGCACTGTTTGCATTTCAATTTTCCAGTGCCTGCAGATTTTACTTTTATTAGGCAGAATATAATGCTGTTATTGGATGCTCTGTAATCCAATGGGTAAAGGGTGGCTCTAACAAAGTTTAAATAACAGACATGAGATAACATGGCACAAGCATAAGATTTATGTGTCATTTGCTTTAATTGAGCAAGGAAGTGTCAGTGTATGACTAGCTCTTTTATCACCACATAACGTAATTTTAATTCCTGTTTCGAAAGATCTTAAATGATTTTGACCACAGCTGTACTTGTGGTCTTGAGTATTCATTTCATGTAATAGTAATTATCTGTGGTATGAAGCTCCACCCAGTGAGAACTGGGATGATGGTATTTTGGAGGTCTTGTGGCACATGGAGTAGCAATTCTGATGCCAGAAGCTCTGGGTTAGTGGCCCCTTCCCACTGAAAAGGACTTGGTGGCCAGGAAAGGTCCATTTGTGATGCAGCCGAACAGGTTGAGTATTGGACTGTAAATCCTCCCCCCATGCCAATGGCAGGCAGTAAGAGTAGGAGAGAATCCCTGGTCAGCTGTGTGATGGAAAGGAAATTGGAACCTCAACCATTTTTATGCATAGCTTCTGGCTGCACCATGTAAGAGAAAACGCATGTTTCTGCAGCAACATATGCTCCCTGAGTGAACTGCATTTATTTGATTTATTTATTGTCATGGGTATCTTATTACAAAATACAGTGAAAAGTGTTATATAGTGTCGCCACTTTCCGGCGCTATCTTAAAACACAGAAAAATAAACCAAAACATAAAATATAAAGGCAGAAAAATGAAGAAATAAAGAAAGGGTCCAATTTTACAGTCCTTTTCGTTAAGTGCTCTGTCATGGGCCAGAAGTGAGTCCCCTTGGCTGCTCAAATGAAAGTCACCACTCTTTACCACCAACTCTCCTCCACTGACGCTGTCATCACTGAGTCCTTGTTGGACCATGCCAGTTCAGATGCTGTTGATGCTGCCAGGTACTGGACCAGCCCAAACTTGACTCCACTGCTGCTGTGAGTCCACTTCGGGCCTACTGTGCTGATGCAGCACCTGTAGATGCTGCAGTACAATGCAGATGGTATTTTCAGAAGACAGCATCAAGAGGCCTTCAGCCCATTGTCAAACTCTTCCACTGTTGATTAAATTCATGATGACTTGTATGTTAACTCCATTTATTCACCTTGATTTTGTAAACCCCTTATACCATTGCTAATAAAAATCTAGCAATCAGTTTTGGAAGTTGCAATGACTACATCCCCCCCGCCACCCCTGCCGTATCTCAGTAGCTTTGAGAGTGAGGAGGTCCAGATTCCTGCCAATTTTGTGTGAAGAAGTGCTGTCGGATGCCAGCTCTGAAACCTTAGATCTAAATTTAAGGTCATGTCTCTCATTCTGCACTTCCTCACCGTACAATATTTAATTAACCTGGTCAGATGTGTTATGACACACCTCTGGAGCAGGTAAAACTTAAACCTGGGCCTTCTGGCTCAGAGATAAGGATACCATAACTGAGCTGCAAGAGTCATTTTTTATAATCTACCCATTCAGGAATCTTACAACACATTTGGGCCTGGTTGGACTTGAACCCAGATGTTCTAGTCCAGAAGTGGGGACTGTACCATTGCACCTCAACAGCCTCATAACCCAGCTGTTTTTTTTTTTTTTCTTTCAATCAACCTGTTCAGAAGTGTAATTATGCACTTCTGGAGGAGGTGGGACTCAAGTCCAGGTCATCTAGCTCAGCGGTAGGTACACTATCACCAGTGTGTCTCGAGAGCCTTCCACCATTTCTAAATATGCTATAAATACTGTAATCCTCTTAAATGGTGAGTTGGATTACCCATCCATCTTTATGTTCAAAAGTTGAAGGCTAGGTTACAACCTGCTGTAACAATTTAACCATTCTAACCCCAGGAACATTCTAGTAAATCTTCACTGTGCCCTGTGTACCCTTGCTGAGGGATTTTGGATCTGAATTCAATATTGAGGGAACTCTGTACAGCTGTACCTAATCTTCTACTCCTTTGTAATCCATACGTCTTGCAATAAAGGTCATTATTGCATTAGTTCTTAAATTATGGAGCGCCACTAGCATTTTAGTGATTTCTTTACTTGAGCTCAAATCTCTGTCCTCATTCTAGCTGCCCACCATTTAGAAAATGTTGATCCATCTTTTCTGCACTTGCGCAGAATGAACTCCAGTCTGCCACAGTTTTTTGTCAATGTAATCTATCAATGTGCCGTTGTGGTTTTCAGCTCGCATCTATACTTACTGTGCCATCAAACTTGCTGCTACCAATATATATCTCTCTTCTTCAATCACGTAACACGTAAATGTAGTGAAAATGGAAATCTCGTACGTTTCAAAGGCATATATGTTGTGTCACATGCTATTAATTTGAGTACATACCCATTATCTTGGCTTACTTCTATCTCTACCAATTCCACGTGTGTTTATTTTCGTTAGCGGTCTTTTTCTGTGCAATTTTGTTGAATGCTGGATATTCAACCCTTCCACCCTTATTTAAGAAATTAGTAACTCCATTCTCATATGGTTACTAACCATGACTCAACCCTTACAAAAATCCATGCTGATTTTCTCTGATCAGCTTGTATTGGTCCAGATGCTCTGTTGCTGGTCATGTAACAAAATTCAAAAAAATTTTCCAATAATTGAGGCCAGACTTCTTAGTCTATAATTTTTCAGTTTCTCATTTACCATTGTTTTACAAAAAGGAGTGATGTTGAATATTTTCCAATTCAAGCAATTATTGAATTGATAGAATTTTGCAAGATCATGATTAAAGCATTAACAATTTTATCATGACTTTTAATCATCATCTTTAATTCTTTGTCATCAATGACTTGCTCCTACTCCAGTTTGATGTGCTGTGAGATGGCTGATCAATCTAATGCAGACTCTGCCACGTGTGGGGGAATGTCATGCTTGAAGGGTTGGGTAGATGGTTTATTTAGAGGTTTGTGTTCCCTTTGATGCCTTGACTTCACCTCTGCACGTTCCTGACGATGTCTGTTGATGTGTTAAGTGCCTTCCCAAATTGACCTATAAGTTGGTCGATCACAAGCCAGGATCTCTCTCGAGTTTCCAGTGGTGTTTGACTCTTCGGAGTGGCTATGAGGACATTCTTAGTGTTTCCACTGTCCTCCAGGGTGCCTTCTGCTTCAACCGAGTTCAAAATAGAACAGTTGCTTCAGGAGTCTGGTGTTAGGCATGCAAGCTACGTGCCTCCCCAGTGGAGCTTGTTTTGAGTGATTGCAAACTCTATGTTGGACCCATTGGCTTGGAGGAGGACACTGATGTTGAACTACCTTTCCTGCCACTGGACGTGTAGAGGGAGAAATGAAGAAAATTAATCTAGTGATCACAAAGAGAAAAATCTTTGCCTGAAGTACTGCTTTGGGTGATTCTAAGAGCTAGCAGAGGTATATTGCACTGAGTAATGCTGCATTGCATGACCATGTGGTCATTCTTCTGATGGTTGTTACTCCAGTGGAACTGCAGAAAGAATCCCTTTTTGTGGTACTATTACAAGCAATATAATTTTCAGGATCCCTTATTACATGTTGCCATGCAGTTAGTGCACAGCTGCTACTTCCAGAGTATTGTATTTCAATTGCATAGAAGTGAGCAAAAGTCACAGCTTGACGACAGGCCATTATCCACCATGTGGAGCTGGAGGAACGCAGCAGGCCAGGCAGCATCCGAGGAGCAGGAGAGTTGAAGTTTCGGGTTGGGACCCTTCTTCAGAAAATGTTATCTCTGACTCCAGCATCGGCAGTTCTTACTTTCTGTGCGGCCATTATCCACCTTTGTGTTTATCTGCCAGGTGTGAGCCAATAATTCTAATCCCGTTTATTGACCTGTCCCCCTGACCCATTGAGCTCCTTCATCTGCTTCTCCAGTCTAATCTGCAATGTTAACCAAGGTTCTCACACGGTCACTAATCCTGGAAATTACTTCAACAGCTTTCCGAATCTCTGAAGAGGTTTCTCTTGCTCATTGTTGCAAATGCCTTAATTTCAATCTGTATCTTTAGTCTCCCATTTTAAGCACCTCTACTGAAAATAGTCTGTTTCTTTGTATCTTGGCCCATCCATTCATAATTTTAACTACTTTTATTGCTCCACAATCTTTCCTATTCTACCGAGAGATTCTTTCAAGTGTGCCTTGCTATTTGTAATTATTCATACCAGACTGATCCTGCTAAATCTGTGGAGTTATCTTTCTTCAAGTCTCAGTATCCTTCCCCATGTGCAGCCTCATATGGTACACTATTCTAGCAGAGATTTTATTAGACATTCACTGTAAGTTCATCATTTCATATTCTATACCTTGTAAACCTGGAATTCCATTAATTTTTTTTAAAACAGCCTTGTCAACTTGAGATGTTGCTTTTAATGTCCTGGAAACTTGTACCTCCAAATTCAACATTCCACTGAACATACTGCTATTCAGTGTATAGCAACTACTGACATGTCACTTCACTCATTTCCCCATGTTATCAGTATTCCTTTGCAGCTTAGTCATTTGAAGAATTAATTATGTCTCTGATTTCAATGCATTCTCCATGTTTCCGTACCACTCCTTCTAGACCTGTATCCACATTGGAATTAGTATTTAAATAAAAATCTTATAGACTTCCATGTTTTTATTAAAAACTAACCTGACATTGTGTTCTCAAGCTCTCATAGAATATAGCAATATCCCAATTCTAACTAATGTGATCTTCTGGTACCCTTAGATATCTACTGGAACAAGACTTCCCTGGGATGAGGATTGGACCTGAACCGACAACTGATTCCTTCATTGCTGTGATGTATGGGCAAGAGGAGGGGATCATTCCTGGCAATGCGCTTGTGGTTGATCCCAAAAAGCCCTTTCGGAAGCTAAATTCCTTTGGGAATGCTTTTCTAAATAGGTATGTGTGACCCTTGCATGTTGAGATTTTTTGAATGTGATTCTAAAGTTGCAGTCTTTTACAATTAGATAACCATGTGCTTTTCCACTGAGTTGAAACAGTATTGTGTACTTAGCTAAAGATATTCGACTTTGGGTCTAGTGTTTTCAGTCCAGCATAGACCCCTCCTGTGCTAATTATAGAACTCTGGCGAAAAATGAGTGAGACAGTTTTAGCCCGAACTTCCTGTTTGGTACAAGAAGTTTCGCACAATCTGTATTGCTGCAGAAGTCTTTGGCTCCCACACAAATGTGGTAGGGCAGTATTTTATAGTCCCTTATTTTCAGTGATTGGTTGTATAAGTTAAGGGGAATAAATAGGAAAGAAATCTTCCACTGGTTTACTTACCTCGCTTACTTTCACAGCTGTCAACAGTGACTGCTGTCATGGGGTGAACCTAAACAGCAGTGGTCTGTAGGCTAATTAAGTGTGGGATATATAATGCCTGCTCCTGTCTGCCAGATGGGTGTGTGGTATAAGTCTGTTAAAAGTCATCAAATGGGGCACCAAAATTCCTCTTGGGAATGGCTGAGAACAATTCGAAGAGTCAAGGTGGACTCAAAATATTAACTCTGCTTCTCTCTCCACCAGACCTCTGAGTTTCTCCAACACTTTCTGTATTTGTTTCAAAGCAGGCTCAGCTGGCTGCCTATGTTTCAGTAAACCTGAACAGCACAATGAGATGTTGTTGTTTGGAAGTGCTGTTTGAGTTGCTGTCCGACCTCAAACTGACTGGACTGTTGTGTGACTTGGGCAGTTGGGATTTGTGAACACGGAAACCTCCACCCAGAGGTATTCTTTGACATGTAACATGAAAAAGAACTCATTTGTATTCACTTGAAGTGACCAGGCAACTGTACAAATTATTCTGTTTTACTGGTTGATATATTCAGTTGTTATATGCATTAAATCATTATACACTATACATCCACAAAGTTTAAAGCTGAATTCTTAGAAGGGATTAGGAACAATTTCTGTTTCTGTGCAGTAATGTTTTGCCTTTTGATAAGGATAAACTTTATATGTGGTGTTGCATTGTGTTGGGCCTGTCACTTCCCAACATGGAAAGTTTTCAAGCCAGGTTAAACAGCTTTGTCTGAGTTTTGCCTTTGAGGATGTGGGATTTTGTCATTTGGCTCTCTGTATAATTCCTTGAATATCCGTTTCTAAGGGATACCGTCTAAGATTTGGAAATAAATCAATTTGTACAATGTGGTCCAAGCAGACTTGAGAGAAAGGGTAAAATACGAAATAGCATCAATTTATTTTTGATATTCCAAGCACAGCTGTGAAGTCGAGTTGGATGCAGTTTCTTGTTTCATACAGTTAAAGAAAAGCTGAGTGAAGATTATTAGACTAGAGCATTAAAAATTATTTACAGCAAGCTTTCTTGATTATTTTTCCTCCCTATTTCACTTTCTGAACAAAATGTGAATTTTGTGTGTTTATCAAAAAATCCATTGGGTAGTGGTAGTGGTGCAGTTGCAGTTGTGGATTTTGCAGTTTTAGGCTTGTTTCTGCTTTGCTCATTGAACATTTTTTTCCCTATCTTAAATCATTCCCTTGAGTCAATCCATCTCTGTGTGACCTTGAGAGTATCTTAATTATCCCTGATACGTACACTGACATGCACAGGGTAACAAACAGCGGCTTCGTTTATTCAGGCATTTACTGATTGTGTAACATGCATTTATAATACAAATTATGCTCTCTTGTTTTTCAGAAGGAAAACTTGTATAACTGCAGTATGAAACTTTATTTTTAATAAATATTTCACTGTTCAGTGATTCATACTTGTCACCACTGATCTGACATGATGTCTAAATTCCAAACCAAATACTGAGTGTAACAATTAAGCTTCCTTTAAAATAACTCTGTGTTGGTCGTAGGGACTTCCTGGATTTACATAACTGACAATTGAGAAAGGAACTTTAGCACAGCCCCATCACGCATGTTTGTGTCTGAATAATGTCACTTGGCTTTTCACTCAAAGCTGTAATCTTTGACAAAGGCGTTGTATGATTTATGGTTGGAATGTGGAATTTAACCACAACTGGGGTCTAAATTCCTTGTGCCTTGTGGTTGGAGTCAAATGAGTAGCCAGCAAGCCAAAAAATATGCAAAAAAACTTAATTGTTGCATTTTTCATATGTCTTGATAATTATTGAACAGGGAAGGTTTAACAGCTGGGTGGCCGAACACAGCTGCTGCTTTCTCCTTGTTTAAAACAAAATTGTTTAGGAGCGCACTGCATGGTAACATTTCCTAAAGTAAAGATAAAAATAAAGATTTCTTTCTTTCAAGCTTATTTCTTCCTCTTCACTCCTCCTGACACACTGACTTGTTAGGATTATAGTTTCATGAGTGTTCTCTGTCCTCCACAACCTCCTACACATGCACATTCTTTGCGAATGTGTCTGAGCAGTGTGTCAGCAAGCTATCTGACTGACAGAGGCATCACAGATGAACCTGAGCCAAGAGCTGCTGGATATCATTCAGATGTAGATACTTGCATCTCCCCACTTTCTCCTGAGCCTGTGGGTGTTTTGGTACCCTGGCTGAGATTGGCTGGCTAATTCAGCAAGACCACTGATGTTTACCACTCATGTTATGGTTTGTATAGTAAATTGCAAGCAGTTTTTGGCTCATTGAGCCATTGCAAAACTCCCAAAACATGTTGGTCTGGGTGACAGAACAGAACCTGTGCTATTGGTATTTTGGGGAAAAAAAAAAGCAGTCTATATGTTGTATCAGTAATGTAATCTCTTGGTCCTGCAGTTTCAATAACCATGATGTCATGATTGGATTTAGCTGAAGGCAAATTGTGGACAAATTTCTCTCAACTTATTCCCCTGTGGTTTCTGGGTACACTTGGAGTGCAAGTGCAGGTTACATACAGAATTTTCCCGCAACTTTCCTTTCCAATAGTTGTTTGTATATTTAAACTTCTGGTTTGTTTTAAAACAGGTTGACTATGGTCTCGAGGTTTGAGGAGCAATATTTCTAGAGTGTGTGGGGTCTCTCTGATGCTTTATTTCTCTTCTTTTTACAGATTCATGTGTGCTCAGCTCCCAAACCAAGTGCTGGAAAGCATAACTATCATTGACACGCCAGGAATCCTCTCTGGGGAGAAGCAACGTATGAGCAGAGGTGAGTGAAATCCTTTAAAAGGAAGCTGGGTGGATATAAGGCATCTCTCCTGAATTGCGCACAGGAAGAGCTGAGTATTTTGTTTCGTGTTTCCTCCTGCGGTATGCTTTATTGATGGTGACCTTGACTGTCATTTTCAACTTCTAACTTTTCCCATGCAAGGAGAGATTTTTTTCTGCACTAAGTTAATTTCCTTTCCTTCTTCCTCCTTCATTTTAAAAATAGCCATCTCTGCAATCCCCTCTTCAGTGAAGTCAGTCTGCATTCTATACACCCCAGGCTGAACGTCTGATACCCTGCCCATTCAGTGAAGCCTCTGACACAGGAAACAACTGGAAGCAAGTGCTGGCAGGGATGCAAATTCTGATGCTTGCAATAAATTACATGGCAGTTAGTCACACAACACACTTCCACACCATAGTTTCTATCCTGCAAGTAGTAATGTGATGGAAAGTGTGTTTGTGTTAAATCAATTGAAATGACTTCTGAATTTCCATAAAGGTGTAATTGCTCTGGTAATTCATGGCAGTAATAGTGTATCTGGAAGCTCTTTCAAGTGTTGGCAGGGATTTTGAGTAAGTAATTGTCTGATTGTCCTGAATTCAGGGACTAAAACTACATACACTGATGACATGGGAACTGGTGTTATGATCCCAGCAGACTGTACAACTGGACAAATCAGATCCCAGAATGAAATCTGGATCACTTTTAAATTTTTAAAATTTTGCTTAATGTAGCCATTTACTGAAACATTAGGTGGCAGAATTTCATAACAACACAACAGACGTTTATTACATAAAAGACCAAATTGAAAGAAAATCCAAGATATCCAGTTATAGAACACAGTTAGCAAGATCTTAATACACCCAAACAACAGTTTAAATCTATTCCCCAAAGCTATCATTTTACAGTAGTTCCAATCTAGAAAAAAATTCACCTTTTTCTCAATCTTTAAGCTTGTCTTAACTGTTTCTCTCTGGTTTTTGTCCTGTGAACTATAGAGTCTTCTTACGTGAACTCTCTCAAAATTGAGAGTTTAGATTTTCCTATCTTCTAGCAATCTGCAGAATTATAACTGAACACTTTTAGTCTGGAAGTTACACAAGCTAACCTTTCTCTAAGTTATTTTACTAACTGCTTGGAAAAACTCCTCTTGAGAGGAGAAACTGTATTTGTTTCTGTTCCCAGTCACCGAAGTAGTTAGAAAGTCAACTTGTGAGAATGCTACAAACAGGTTATAGAGAGAAATTGATGGGTTAGGTAAGTGGGCAGAAAGTTGGCAAATGGAGTATAATGTGGGAAAATGTGAAGTTGTTCATTTGCAAGGGAGAGTAAAAGAACAAAATATTATTTAAATTTGAGAAGAACTGCAGCACAAAGGGACCTGGGGATGAACTTGTGGATGAAATACAAAGGAGTGTCATGCAGGTGCAATAGGTATTCAGGAAGGCTAATAGAATGTTGGCCCTTTTTTCAAGGGGGTTGGAATATAAGAGTAGGGAAGTCTTGCTGCAGCTGTACAAGGTGCTTGTAAGACCAAGTACAGTCATAGAGATGTCCAGTGTGGAATCAGACCCTTCAGTCCAGCCCGTTCATGCCAACCAGATATCCTAAATAAATCTAGTCCCACTTGCCAGCATTTGACCCATATCCCTCTAAACCATTCCTATTCATATACCCATCCAGGAAGGGTATATGATCATCTGGAGTACTGTGAGCAGCTTTGGTCCCCTTATTCAAGGAAAGAGTTTAGAGAAGGTTCACTAGAATGGTCCCTGGGATTGAGAGATTCTCCTGTGAACAAAGGTCCAAGAAGTTGGGACTTTACTCATTGAAATTTAGACTGCAAAGTGATCTCATTGAAACATATGGGACTCTTAAGAGGTTTGACAGGGTAAACGCCAAGAGGATGTTTCTCCTTGTGTCGAGTCTGTGATCAGAAGGCATACTCTCAGAATAAAGGGGGTGCCAATTTAAGATTGAGATGAGGAGGAATTTATTCTCTCATAGGGTTGAGAGTCTTTGGAACTCCTTGCCACACAAAGCTGTGGGGACAGAGTCATTGTATATATTTAAGGCTGAGATAAATAGATTCTTGATCATTAGAGGAATCAAGGGTTGCAGGGAAAGCACAGGAAAGTGGATGTGAGGAATGTCAGATCAGCCATGATCTTTTTGAGTAACGGAACACGCTCAAGGAACCAAATAACCTACTCCTATTCCTATTTCCTATGGTCCGATTATCCAGTAAAATCTTCTCCTAACCGCCCTTAAAAACATTCAGCTTCTGGGCTTTTTAAACAAAACTTAAATGTTGATAATTCTAATTCTATACTTAAGATAAGCTAATGGCCTTCAAAGTTTACACTTCAGGTGTTCCCTACTTGCTGACACATAATGAATCAGGTCATTGATTCACAAGGTCTTTCTGACCTAGATTTCCTTTCTCCCCAAAAAAACTTCTACAGAAGTATCCAAAACCCATGAGCCACTATTTCTCAAATCCAAAATCTAAAATCATGAGAGGCATGGATACGGTGAATAGACAAGTCATTTCCCTGGGGTGAGAGAGTCCAGAACTAGAGGACATAGGTTTAAGGTGAGAGCGGAAAGATTTAAAAGGGACCTAAGGGGCAACTTTTTCACACCGGGTAGTGTGTATGGAATGAGCTGCCAAAGGAAGTGGAGGAGGCTGGTACAATTACAACATTTAAAAGGCATCTGGATGGATATATGAGTAGGAAGGGTTTGGAGGGATATGGGTCAAATGCTTGCAAATGGGACTAGATTTATCTGGGATATCTGGTCGGCACGGATGAGTTGGACCGAAGGGTCTGTTTCTGTGCTATATATCTCTATGACAATGTAAATGATAAATTTACTGTCATTGCACTAGTCATTTGCTTGGATGCTAAGTGAATTTGGGGAAATTCTTCTTTAAAGCAGTGTTTTACTTAGTAATCTGCTTAGTCTGGTGACTTCCAGCATGCTTTTCCTCAATTAACAATCCATGATAAGGCTAACAGTTAGAATAATGAGTTGAACCCTGGCCTGAATTCAACTCCTGTTGCACAGGAGGACCCCAGTGCATTGTAACAAACAGAGTTACTCGAATAATTGTGGTGCATTAATAAGCCCTTGCAACTTTTCCTCGTGTGTGTCTGATTGAATCTCTTGTCTGTAAATGAACATTAGCTAAGAGGCTTCTGCAGACAATGGAAACAGATACTGCTAGAAGAACTCAACAGGTCTGGCGGCATCTGTGGAGAGAAGGAATTAACATTTCGAGTCTGAAATGACTCTTGTTCCTATCAGTCATGAACTTGAAATGCTACCTCTGTTTTTTTTCCCCACAGATGCTGCCAGACCTGCTGAATTTTTCCAACATCGTGTTTAGGTCAGATATACAGCATTCGCAGTAATTTGTTTTCAGGCTAGGCTACTTGTTCTGTAGCAGCCATGCAGATATTAAACTGTGTGACAAGGTGAAACCACATTTGGCCACCTCTTCAATGCAGAGAAGTTGCTTTTTCCAAACTTGCATTGTATCTCTGCAACTTTTATCAGATGTTGCTTTTGGTGCTGAACAACTGAGGGGGAATTGCCAAGCTGAATACTTGACTGAGCAACAGTTAATTTTTCTATAAAGGGCAGCTTAGTTTCTCTAAGTTCAAATAGATTACTATTTACCAAATGTACACATTGCTAAACTATACAAGATCATTCTCCATTTTCAAATTTGTCCACCCCTTGGGAAGTTGGATGTTGCTCATGAATACGCACCTGAGTTTTGTTTTATCTGCAATACAAGTGGTACCTAAAATGTCCTAGGGTAATAGATTTTTCCCCGGAGTAGATTAAATGTACAAACTGATCCAGATCATTTGAAACCAGTTCAAAAGCTAGGAATATTGAGATGTTTTAAAGCTTTTTAATCATTTACACAAGCCACAATGGAAAGTGACTATGTAATAACTGTTGTGGACATATACCTGGGAGGACTCATCTGGAAGAGTCGCAAGGGCATAGTTGTAATCTGTTTACATTGGTTGTTAACAACAGTTCAAATTCTTGGACTGTTGTCATTCCTGTATTTAGTAAAACATAGTGTTTTGTAAAAGGACAACTACAATGTATTGACAAACTATTTCTAATTAATATGTAACGCATTAATCCATTGAGTTAATTTGTAAATTCTAAGACTGTGACACTAGCATTGCTTTTTACCATATTATCTCATCTCTTTCTGATAGTCTGAATCATATTCTTTGTATTAAATTTATCTCCTGATTATGTGACTTTGTGCCTGGAGCACAACATGTTAAACCTTGCAGATTATCAGGTCATTAATGTTTGCCCATCTTGTCCTGACTCTGATTTTTCTCAATCTGCTTATATTGCAGATATTTTAATTTCAATACATGCAGGTGTCTTTAATGTTGAGAAATGTTCAATAAATTTGTTAGAATTAATGCATTGACTATAGAGGACACTACATAAAAATCTGTCCTTTTTTCACAGTGCAGAAATTAATTTACTAGGTGCCAGTTATGGAATATGTAGTTGAACACATAGAGGGAGCAAGTGTTTAGAGCCTTGGTGAGTCATTGCAATGCATTTTGTAGATCACACTCAATGGTGCGATTGTGCATCAGTACTGAAGGAAATAACTGTTGAAGATATTAGATTCTGTGCCAGTCAAGCTGACTGTTTTGACCTAGATGGTGTTGAGCTGCTTGAGTGTTGTTGGAGCTGCAGTCATCCATGTCTTAACTGGAAATAGCACTGCAATTGTGATTTAATAGCTGCAACTAATGCCATCTTATTTTAGCCTGAAAAACCCACCAACCTGTCTTTTGTAAACTCCCGTTACAAAGTGGGCGGGGAGAGGATGCTGTCTTCAGGCTGGATGTCTTCACTCAACTGCTTTAAACTGTGACAACTTTTTGGCTGAGTTGCAGCTTGTTAATCAGAGAGCTGTTGCCTCACAAAAAATTCTT